ATGTTGAGGTGGAATCCATCCTGAAGGCTCTAGCCTTTGATCTTCATCAGTAAGTGCTTCAAGTCCCATTCACTTTCAGCAAGCAAGATTGTGTCATCAGCAAAAAGCAGGCTGTTAACGAGTCTTCCTCTAAACTTGATGCCCCATTCTACTTAAAAGTCCAGCTTCTCGGATTTCTTGCTCAATATACAAATTGCATAGGTATGGTGAAAGGATATAACCCTGACACACACCTTTCCTGACTTTAAACCCCACAGTATCCCCTTGTTCTATTTGAATGACTGCTTCTTGATCTATGTACAGTTTCCTCATGAGCACAATTAAGTTTCCTGAAATTCACAGTCTACTTGATGTTATCCATAATTTGTTATGTTCCACACAGTTGAATGCCTTTGCATAGTCTATAAAACACAGGTAAACACATAAGTAACAATGCACAATCACCAGAAGAGAGACTAGATAAATGGGAACTCCTAAAAATCAAACACTTATGCTCATCAAAAAACTTCACCAAAAGATAAAAAGGCAGCCTACAGAATGGGAAAAAAAAATTGGCTATGACAAATCCAATCAGAGTCTAATCTCTAAAATCTACAAGATACTGCAAAACCTCAACAACAAAAAGACAAATAACCCAAGTAAAAAATGGGCAAAGGATATGAACAGGTACTTCACCACATAAGATATTCAGGCAGCTAATAGATACATGAAGAAATGTTTACGATCATTAGCCATTAGAGAAATGCAGGTCAAAACTACAATGAGATATCATCTCACCCCAACATGGCTAGCATTAATCCAAAACACACAAAGTAATAAATGCTGGAGAAGTTGTGGAGAGACTGGAACACTTATACACTGTTGGTGGGAATGTGAAATGGTACAATCACTTTGGAAATCGATTTGGTGCTTCCTTAAAAAGCTAGAAACAGAAGTACCATACAATCTAGGTATCCCGCTCCTTGGAATATATCCTAGAGAAATAAGAGCTGTCACACGAATAGATATATGCACACTCATGTTCATTGCAGCACTGTTCACAATAACAAAAAGATGGAAAAAACCTAGATGCCCATCAAAGGACGAATGGATAAACAAATTATGGTATATCCATCCACACAATGGAATATTATGCAAAGATAAAGAACAATGATGAAGCTGTGAAACATTGTATAACATGGTGGAAGCTGGAATTTATTATGCTCGGTGAAGTTAGTCCGTCACAAAAGGACAAATACTATATAAGACCACTATTATAAGAACTCAAGAAAAGGTTTAAACACAGAAGAAAACATTCTTTGATTGTTATGGGAGGTGGGAAGGGAGAGTGAGGGTTATTAACTAACTAGATAGTAGATAAGAATCATCTTAGGAGAAGGGAAAGACAGGACGCACTACAGGGGAAGTCATCACAACTGGACTAAACCAAAGCTAAGGAGTTTCCTAAATACAGTCAAATACTTTGAGAGACAGAGTAGCAGAGGTAGAGTTCTGGGGACCATGCTTTCGGGGGACATCTAGGTCAACTGGCATAACAAAGCTTATTAAGAAAATGTTCTGCATTCTACTTTGGTGAGTAGTGTCTGGGGTTTTAAAATCTTGCAAGCTGCCATCTAAGACGCATCAATTGGTCCCAAACACCTGGAGTAAAGGAGAATGAAGAACTCCAAAGACACAAGGAAAGTATTAACCCAAGAGACAGAATGGCCCACATAAACCAGAGACTTCATTAGCCTGAGACCAGAAGAACTAGATGGTGCCCGCCTACCACCAATGACCACCCTAACAGGAAACACAACAGAGAGTCCCTGAAGCAGCAGCAGAAAGATGAGGTGCAGAACTCAAATTCTAGTAAGAAGACCAGACTTAATGGTCTGACTGAGACTGGAGGAACCCCAGATAACGTGGCCCCTGGATTCTGTATCAGCCTAGAACTAAAACAATTTCCAAGGCCAACTCTTCAGACAGGCATTGGACTGGACTGTGAGACATAAAGTGATACTCGTGAAGAGTGTGCCTCTTAGTCAAGTAGATACAAGAGACCAAAGCGGCAGCTTCTGTCCAGAGGTGAGATGGGAAGGCAGAGAGGGTTAGGAGCTGGTTGAATGGTCATGGGAAATCAGGTGCGGAAAGGAGGAGTGTGCCGTCGCAGAATGGGGTGAGCAATTAGGGTCACCTAACAATGTATATATAAAATTTTGTATGGAAGACTAACTTGAAATGTAAACTTCATTTAACTACAACAATTAAAAAAAAAAAAAAAAACAGGTAAACATCTTTCTGTATTCTCTGCTTTCATCCAGGATCCATGTGACATCAACCCTTATATCCCTGGTTCCGTGTCCTCTTCTGAAGCTGGCTTGAATTTCTAGCAGCTGTTTGTTGATATACTGCTGCAGTGGCTTTTGAATGATCTTCAGCAAATTTTTACTTGTGTGTGATATTAATGATATTGTTCAATAATTTCCATATTCAGTTGGATCACCTTTCCTGTAGGATCTCTTCCAGTCAGTCTGCCAGGTAGCTGTCTTCCAAATTACTTTGCATACTTAAGTGAGGACCTCCAGTGCTGCGTCCATTTGTGGAAACATCTCAACTGGTATTCCATCAATAACTGGAGGCTTGCTTTTCGCCAATACCTTCAGTTCAGGTTAGATTTCTTCCTTCAGTACCATAAGTTCCTGATCATATACTACATTCCTAAAATGGTTGAAGGTCAACCAATTCTTTTTGATTTAGTGACTGTGTATTCCTTCCATCTTCTTTTGTTGCTTCCTGCATCATTTAATATTTTCCCCACAGAATCCTTCACTATTGCAACTCAAGGCTTGATTTTTTTCCTTCAGTTCTTTCAGCCTGAGAAATGCCAAGCATGTTCTTCCCTTTTGGTTTTCTATCTCCATCTCTCTGCACGTCATTATAATACTTTACTTTGCCTTCTGGAGTCATCCTTTGAAATCTTCTGTTCAGCTCTTTTACTTCATCATTTGTTCCTTTTCCTTTAGCTACTCAATGTTCAAGAGCAAGTTTCAGGGTCTCTTCTGACATCTATTCTGGTTTTGCTTTTTCTTTTCTGTCTTTTTAATGACATCTTGCTTTCTTCATGTATGATGTCCTTGATGTCATGCCACAACTCATCTGGTCTTCTGTCATTAGGGTTCATAATGTCAAATCTATTCTTGAGATGATCTCTAAATTCAAATGGGACATACTCAAGGTCGCACATTGGCTCTCGTGAAGTTGTTTTAATTTTCTTCAGTTTCAGCTTGTATTTGCATACGAGCAATTGATGGTCTGCTCTGCAGTTGACCCCTGGCCTTGTTCTGACTGATGATATTGAGCTATTCCATCATCTCTTCCCATAGATGTAGTCTATTTGATTCCTGTGTATTCCATCTGGTGAGGTTCACGTGCAGAGTCACCATTTATGTTAGCGAAAAAAGCATTTGCAGTGAAGAATTCTCAGCCTTGCAAAATTCTAACATGTGATCTCAGACATCATTTATATGACTAAGACCATATTTGCCAACTACCGATCCTTCTTTGTTTCTAGCTTTCACCAGTAATTAGCAATGCATCCTGATTGCATGTCCGATCAATTTCAGATTGCAGATGTTGGTCAAATTTTCAATTTTTTCATCTTTGGCCTTAGTGGTTGGTTGGTAAATTTGAATAACAGTGCTATTAACTGGTCTTCCTTGTAGGTGAATGGATGCTATCCTATCACTGACAGTGTTGTACTTCAGGATAGATATTGAATTATTCTTTTTGAGGATGAATGCAACACTATTCCTCTTCAAGCTGTGATTCCTGGCATAATAGACCATATGATTGTCCGCACAAAATGGCCAATACCAGTCCAATTCAACTCACTGATGCCTGGGATATCGATGTTTATGTGTCCCATTTCATTTTTGATGATTTCCAATTTTCCTGGATTCATACTTGGTACTTTCCATGTTCCAATTATTAATGAATGTTTACAGCTCATTTTGAGTCTTGCCACGTCAGCAAATGAAGGTCCCGCAAGCTTGACTCCACTCACGTCATTAAATTCAACTCGACTTTGATGAGGCAGCTCTTCCCCAGCCGCATTTGGAGTGCTTCCAACCTGGGGGGCTCATCTTTCTGCACTAAATCAGACAATGTTCCATTACTACTCGTAAGGTTTTCGCTGGCTAATTCTTTTCAGAAGTAGACTTCCAAGTCCTTCTTCCTAGTCTGTCTTAATCTGGAAGCTCAGATGAAACCTGTCAGCCACCATGGGTGACCCTGCTGGTATTTGAATACCGGTGGCAGAGCTTCCAGAATCACAGCAACACACAAGCCCTCGCAGCACAACAAACTGACAGATGTGTGGAGGAGCAAAGTTTTACCGCAGAATAAAGCTTCCCCATGGGATTTCCAAGGAACAGCTGATGGATTCCAACTGTCGATCTTTTGGTTAACAATTGAGCTCTTAACCACTGTGCCACCAGGGCTCCACTTTTTACAGGTGCTCCATATTAAATGCTGGCATGATGATGAAATATTACTGAAAAATAAATGATCTACCTATCATTTTGTATTTCTTGTTGATAATATCAAAAACAATTTATTAGTGTTGTTGTTGTTAGCTGCTGTCAAGCCAGCTTCCAACTCATGGTTATCCCATGCACAACAAAAGTAAATGCTGCCTGATCCTGTCCCATCCCAATGATTGGTTGCAGACTGGACTATTGAGATCCATAGGGTTTTCTTTGACTCATTTCTGGAAATAGATCACCATGTCATTATACCTGGTTCACCTTAGTCTGGAAGCTCTACTGAGACGTGTTTAGAGTCATAGACACAAAACAGCCTCCACTGACAGAGAAGTGGTACATGCTCCTGAGGTTCATTAACTGGGAATTGAACCAGGGTCTCCTGCAGGTAAGGCAAGAATTCAACAACTGAATCACCATTGTCCCCTTAATTCATTAATACGTGCAGATATACTAACTTCATCCTATTTCTGGGTCTTAACCATTCACAACGAAATTACCTTTAATGAATACAGCTAGCAAGTCATCACTGATATCCTTTGTGACTCCCAGATGGTACCAAGGATCATTGGCACCATTTAAAAAGATGATTTTGCTTCCGTTCACATTGAGGCCACCATAGTACCTGTTGGTGACCATAGCACCCCGAATCAGTGAATCACTATTGAACACACTGCCAAAGACATCGGAACACTTCTTAGCAAAATACCTGCCAGAAAAAAAGGAGACAAAATTGTAGGTGCCAGAAAGCAGGATTCAGGAATGTATGAAAGATATCTACAGAAAGAATGTGGTGTTTTTTGTTTGCTTTTTTAGTTGTTTTGTTTTCCCCTCGAGAATCTGAGTTACTTAAAATAGCTAAAATTTTTTTCTTCAGTTTAAGAAAGACTCTATCTTTCTATCTGTCCATCTAACTATCCATCTGTCTATCTATCTATCTACTTACCTTTCTATCTATCTGAATCCCTGATGTACAACAGTTAAGAGCTCAGCTGTCAACCAAAATTATAGCAGTTCTAATCCATCAGTCGCTCTTTGGAAACCCTATTGTGCAGTTCTACTCTGTCCTATACGGTTACTATGAGTCAGAATTGACTCGACGGCAATGGATTTTGTTTGGGTTTTATCTATGCACCTACTTACCTACCTATGTACCTACCTACCTACCTCTCCTATGACTTCCTCTAGAGGTCCTTCGGTAGCTAAGCATGGAGGAATGTGGTCTCCAAAGTATTTATCTATTTGGACCCTTGGTCAACACAACATAGAGTCTCAATGAGGAGACTGTAAACCTCATGGGCTTATGTTTCCTGGACACCACCTAAGGGTTCATAACAAGCAAAGGAGAAAAGTCTATTATTTGCCTTCCCTTGAACCTATACTTGTAACTAGAATAGTAACTACTGTGGGAAGGAAAAAGTTCAATGCATAGCCTGCCTGCCTGTTGAGGAAGAGAGCACAGAGACAGTAAGAGCGAGAGTTGGCCTTCAATTTAATTTTCCCTCTAAATATGGAAAAAAAAAAAAATCCCTGCAATCATGGTTTCTACTTACACACAAAAGTTAAGGCAGAGCTTTTACCTGAGAGGCAATCCAGTGAAAGACTGGTTCTTTAAATCTGTGGTGAAAAAGTAGCCAAATTCAGTGCAACTTTGATATAACCATGGCTTGGCTGGAAAGGAAAACATCAATTAACTTAACCAGAAAAGATATTTTTGTTGATGACTAAATAAAAAGCTTAAAAAAAAAAAAAAAAGCCCTCTAATTTGCAAACTTCTTGTGACCTTCTGAAAGGAAGTTGATCTTATTATTATTAATGTTAGTTTTAGTCATGCCCAACATTACCACACCAAGAACTGATACTATGTGCAATGATCAGGAGATGTTGGTGAAGACCCACGTGCTCCTGAAATAACATTTTCCCATTCTCCCCAGGGCCATCTCTATGAGTACCACAGAACTGTCCCACTGTGTGTCCTTTATTTTCAGCCTCTGCTAGGAAAGTGCTATGTTGTCTCTGCATCCTCCTCTAGTTACCTTCTCCTAAGAATCACCCAGTCCCCCCTCCATGAAGTTTCTTGAAAGAGGGATGAAAGCTTGATGTCTTTGTCCCTCACCATCTCTGTACCGTCATTCGTTCCGTGATTGCAATTTCTCTCCCAGGTCACCAGTATTGGTAGGGTGAGTAAATCAATGCATCTAATTGTGGATAATAACTTAAAGTTTGTTTGACTGAAATTTTAGCAGCTATATCAAGGATTCACATGTCTTTGAGCAACTTAGTTAACAACTTTAAGAACTATTCATACTAAAAATATATTGAAATTGTCATTATGTTGGATTTCCAACAGGCTAGTGGAAGAGAGAAAGTTCCTAAGTACTACAAATGGTTTGTGCTCGATTTGAACCCACCCAGCAGATCCACAGAAGGGAGGACTGGAGAGCTCTTCCACAAAGATTAGAGCCATGAAAGCCTTACATTGCAGTTCTACTTTGTAACACATGGGATTGTCACGAGTCGAAACTGACTCATTATCAACAGGTTAGGTCATTCTAGAGTGCAACCAGGTTTGAGAGCTGCTCTATATAGAATCTGAAGTGGGGTGAGGTATTTTCTTGGCATCAGTGACACTTAAAGGTATTAAGGGATACCTTTCTTTATTCTGATTCTTGCAATCCTGAGCATTTGGTATTTCTGCCTCTCTTACTAAAGTGATTTAATCTGTGTATGTCCAGCTCCTGGACTTATTCATTCCGTCTTCCCATCCTTGAGTAAAAGCCTTAGATCTGTTTTTTCATAATTCTTCACGAAGGTTAATGCAGCCTCACAACTTGCAGAATGTTTAATTCACATTATTGTGCTCATATTTCTCAACACCCAAAGGAAAACTTCTATTTTCATCAGATAACACTTTACCTGTTTTGTAAGTATTCCTGTCCAAAGAAGAGGAAGAGAATGCATTCACAGATTCCTTGTAACTTGCAGGATAACAAGAGAAACCTTTGTTCCTGAGCGTAGTTCTGATTACACTTGCATATCTATGATATGGTGAACCAAGTGAAGTATTAGTCATCTTCTCACAAAATTCATCAGTTGTCATCTCACCCATTTTTCTCTACAAAAAAAAAGATTCCTATTATGTTTAAAAGAATGTGCATGAGATGGCTTTCAGCTCAAAATGGAATTCAGCTCCAAAAATGATTTTAAATGCTTTAAATGATTCCTTTTAATTCAAATAAGGTGCAAATATTCTTTGGTGACTTTGGCCTGGATATCAACGCTGAAAATATTAACTCACCTGAGTAGGCTGCAGAGTCTGTTAGAAGTGAGTCACATCCCTTTTTTAAGACACATAGCTAAAAAACCAGTTGCTTTAACAATGGCTTTTGCTACTCAGGTCGGTATTTGGTTTGTAAGAATTTACAAATAAAGAAGCTTTGATTGAGCATGTGATATCTTGCCAGAGCAGTGCTAGAAACTTTGGAAGGTGTAAAAGATGAGAACCAACACTTTGGAAGAATCTAATCAACGAAGACAAAATACATACACTAAGAAAACAGTAATGAGATACTCTGGGGATTCTGATAGAGGTCAGTGACTAGAATCATGAGTAAAGGCTTCCTGAGGATGTAGGAATTGAGGTGGATGAGGAAGATTGTGTATAGAGATAAGTCGAGTACAGTTGTATGTTTTCACTAATATGAAGTATCTGAAGAAGACAGATGTATAGAAAATAGAGTTTAACAGTGATTACCAGGAGAAAGAAAGATGGAGAAGGGGGGAATCATTGTTTAGGTAACATACAGTTTTTGTTTATGGGGATGAAAAATTTGGCATTGGTTATCGGTGATGGTTGTACAACATGATTTATGAAATAAGTTTTATTGAACTGTACATGCGGAAAATTTTTAATTGGCAAATGTTATGTTCTTTATATTTTTATAACAATAAAAATTTAAAAAAATAAAATAGAAGAGTGCATTTTAGGCAAGGGAACCAGAAAGTCTGAAGAAGTGGTAGCAGGGATGTGTAATGTCTAAGACGATGATTGAACAGGCCTGGATTTGTGACCTTGAGTTAGTTACTTACCGGTCAGCCTTAGTTTGCTCATGTGTTCAAGGGGGACAATAAAAATAAGCTAATCAGAAAAACTCATAAGGTTGCTGTGAGGATTAAATAAAAGTAGCCCTTGGATAGTGCCTACAGCAAAGGTCATGGAATAAAAAGCAGCATTGTTATCATAATAAATATTACATATCTTCTTACATTTTCTTTGCTTGTTATAAGTATACAGGTAAAAAAACATTTGTCATTACTACAATCTTCACATGTACACTTCAGTGACATTATGATCATCATGTTATTCAATCATCACCATATTATTATTCTTATTTAGTCAAGAGAGATATTTAAGAAGAAAAAAGTGGAAATAAGTATTGACCATAGAATGTGTTTAGAAATGAAACTCTCTAACTTAGAAAAGATGGATAATAAGGAATCTTTCAAAGTTTTGAACATGTTAGTAATTTACTGAAAAAGATACTCAAAGAAGATCAGCCCAAGTAGAGGGACAGTGGTTTATTTATGGGAAGTTGAGAGATGGCCTAACTTTCTGTTACTGGCAAAATCATTGACTTCAAGACATACTTTCATGTAGGAATATCCATCTGAGATGCCATAGTCTACCAGTAAAGAGATTTGGGCAGAAGTGTGTGACTTTTTTCTCCTCACTTGTTACACATCATAAAATTCCATTCTTAGTTATTCTTAGAAAATTGTGTTGTTAATAATATACTAACTATGGAATTTTGAGTATTGCTTCTACACACCCATTGTAGAAAGGATATATTATTATGAAAGGCTGATGCATTTATTTCAGAAGTTTTGAAAGAGCATTTCCTTTGTTTTGGTTTGCTTTGGTATTGGCTTGAGGAAACAGAAAGGAAAGGACCTGACAGTAGCATACACCCACTTAACAGACCATATAGTTCTAATTAGGCAGCTGTGTAATATCTGTTCAGTTAGCAGTACATCAAGACTTTGTCGGGTTGACAGAAGCTGACAACTGAAGTTCAGCTTCCCTAAGTTCAGAAGAATTCAGTAGCTAGTCCTCACATTAACTGCAGACTTAACTTCAGACTATGGCTTGACTACTCTACTTTGACCAACAACTACAGAAATAGAGTTAGAGCCTGTGAAGGCTGGGAAAGGCTCTGTATTACTTTCATGCTTAATAATTCTCTCTACACCCATCATTTTGATTCATCCAGCAGGAAAGTGCTCCAGTCAACAACTATTATCTCCAGGGGAAAGACTTTCAGAAATTACAAAGTGCCCCAAATCAATTTCCTATACTTTTGTACAAGAAGAAAAAAAAAGAAAGCACCCTGGACGGGAATGTATGTCAAATTCCCGCCCAATTAAATCAATGCAATATTTTAACTGAAGACATTCTAGCAAGACAAACACAGATATGCATACACACACACAGAGTCCTCAACTTTTTCTGTCCCATCTGACTGCTTAATTTTACATTTTATTGATTATCAGTATCAGAGGAATAAAGGCCCTGAGTACAAAAAGGAACAATAAAACAATATTTCAAATTTGCTAACTTTTAAAACTATAAAAGTTTTACTGTTGATGAAGGTCAAATCTGTTGATAGAATTTACTTATTGAATTACATTTTTTGAAGTGTCTGTGGACTTAGGAATCCCTAGTGCCACATTTGGAGTCACTGGGTGGTGCAAATGGTTAATGTGCTCTGCTGTTAACCAAAAGGTTGGAGGTTCAAGTCCTTCTAGAGGTGCCTCAGAAGAAAGGCTTAGCAATCCGCTTTCCAAAATCATCTATTGAAAACCCTACGGAGCACAGTTCTACTGTAATACACATGGAGTGGCCATCGGTCAGACCGACTTGACGGCAACTAGCTGGTTGAATGCTACATTTGCACAGAAAATCTGCAAGTGACTACTAATACAGAAAGGGTTGCTAGAGAAACTGAATGTAATGAAAGAAAATGCAGTTATCCTCTATTAACTCATTTTTTTCAAGTGCTATAAAACTTTTCAATTTTGGGATTACGGGGAGGGGTAAAGATGGACATGAATAATTTGTATAGAAGATAGAGTTTTAAATTCTGCTTAAATTTCATAAGAATCACCTGAGGAACTGACTCATGGTTCCCACTCTAGAGGCTTGGAGGTGAGGCCAAGGAATCTGCATTGTTAACATACACTCCAGGTACTTATGCTGCACATCTTAAGAAATTTTGGTACAGCCAAGCCCTGTTTGACACTGATATTAAAAGTAAAAACCACCTCTCACCACGTGGTCTATATAGTGGCAACTCAGGGGATTTGGTTTGATTTGCTATAGCTGAAGCTCTGTTATATCGTGGCATAGATTTGCAATGTTTTCTTGAGCAAGAGATAAAGCCTTCAAAAACTCATAACTGCTGAGCGTCACCTGTGTATATGGCCTCACATTATCAAGGAAATAACACAGTTTCCTCATTTCTACCAGGCTCTTAAAAGGGAAAATATCAAAGTTCATACTAGAGTTGTATATTAGTTCTGGAAAAAGAAAATCACAGGAATTTCAAACCACTTACCTCCCCTTCTAACCCCAAAAAACCCACCCTGACTGCCATTGAGTCGATTCCGACTCATAGTGATCCGATAGGGTTTCCAAGGTTGTAAATCTCTATGGAAGCAGACTGCCACATCTTTATCCCTCAGAGACACTGGTGGTTTTGAAAGGCTGACGTTTTGGTTTGCAGTAGATCGCTTTCACCACTGCAACACCAGGCTCTTTCACCTCCGCTTATAGCACGTAGCAATCCTCCAAATGTAACTTTTTTCTATTCTCAGAATAAAAGCTACATTTTTATGCAAGAAAATTCCACACTGTAAAGAGTTTAATTTGTAGTTTCCAATCCACATATTTATAAGGATACTCTGAGGTTTCAGTCATGAAGCAAAAGGTAGAATTAAAGCCTCTTATAAATAACAATAATCTAGAGAAGGAAAAAAGTTAAGTATCAAAAAATATTTATACTTGACTAAGCCCCTTATGACCACTTCCTAATTTCAAATCACACCTCAAGAAATTATTGGGTATGATTCATTAAAATCAAGAAGCCAACAAACACTGAGGGAAATAATATGGTAGTGAATATTAAGTTTTGAATTTTAATGAGCACGTGGTGTTATATAAAGTTTCTTCCAGGAAATCACTACTGTGCCGTCATCTACAGAAGAGTCTCACATGTTAGCTCTGTCTCATAATGGTTGTGTTACAGCAGGTCAGTTGCTTGGCCTCTCTGAGCATCAGTTTCCATATCTTTAAATGTGGGGCTAACAATTCCCACCTATGGGACTGATTATTAGATTAAATGATATAAAGTGGGTGCACCTGTCCTGTAGAATGCTGAATCAAAATACCAAAAAAAAAAAAACTCTGTTGCCGTGTTGCCGTTGAGTTGATTCCAACTCAGAAACCTTATAGGACAGAGTAGAACTGCCCCATAGAGTTTCCAAAGAGCGTCTGGTGGATTTGAACTACCAACCTTTCGGTTAAAGTCCTAGAATTAACCACTATGCAACCAGGGTTTCCTAATCAAAATAAGAGCTCAATAAACCGGAAATTTTGCCATGATAATGTAAACATTTAATTTAGGGAAAAAAAAAGAGGGAAGGAAAGAATGTACAAAGGATGGAAGGGAGTGAAGGAAGGAAGGGATTGAAGGAAGGAAGATAAATGGAAAGATGGAAGAAAGGAAGGAAGGGAGGGAGTGAAGGAGGAAGTGAGGGACACAGGGAAGGAGGAAAGAAGAAAAAGAGAGAAGTAAGTGAAGACAAACTAGATTATTAATTTGGAGACTTTTTTTTTTAATATAAGCTAAGTAAATGTAATACATATTATCACAGTAGATAATACTGGGTTTTAGTCATAGAAAATCACATTGTAACTCTTACTCAGCCCCTTATTATCCTTGTGACTTTAGGCAAGTGATTTAAAGCCTTGAAGGCTAGGCTCCTCATTTGTAAAATAGGACTAACCTAGAGATACTGTGAGAATTTCTAGGAGAAAAACTATAAACTACTTAGTAT